AAGTGGCATGTTAAAATACTGATCTTTTAAAGGCACTGAATTGCCAACGCCGCTGCTAAAACTAATACCTCAACAGCTGACAGCATTCTAGAAGCCGAGGTCGTACTGGTAGTTACGAGTATTCCTGGAGAATTTGATGAATCATTTGAATCTGTTGCGGTTGTTGTTGCTGTTGCTGCTGGTGTAGCTGTTGGTTTTGTAGTTGGTGTAGCTGTTGTTGATGCAGTTTGTATTGCTGTTGATGTTCCTGTTGGTGTTGCTAATGTTGTTGCTGTTTGTGCTGCTGTTGTTGACGCTGTTTGTCTTTCTGTTGCTTTTGGTGAAGCTGTTGGTGTTGCCGGTGATAATGGTGTTGCTGTTGTTGTTGGTGTTGCCGTTTCTGTTTGCGTTGCTGTTGGTGATGGTGTTGCCGATGCTGTTGGTGTTGCTGTTTCCGTTAATGCAGCTGTTGTTGCTTGAGTTTCCGTTTCTGTTTACGTAACTGTTAGTGATGGTGTTGCCGTTTCTGTTTGTGTTGCTGTTGGTGATGGCGTTGCTGTTGCTGTTTCGGTTTGTGATGCTTTTGGTGTTGATGTCGCTGTTTGTGCTGCCGTTTCTGCTGGCGTTGCTGTTACTGTTGGTGTAGCTGTTGTTGCTTGAGTTTCCATTTCTGTTTGCGTAACTGTTTGTGATGGTGTTGCCGTTTCTGATTGTGCTGCTGTTGGTGATGGCGTTGCTGTTGCCGTTTCGGTTTGTGTTGCTGTTGGTGTTGCCGTTTCTGATTGCGTTGCTGTTGTTGATGGTGCTGCCGTTTCTGTTGGCGTAGCTGTTGCTGCTGGTATTGCCGTTTCGGTTTGTGTTACTGTTGGTGTAGCTGCTGTTGCTTGAGTTTCTTTTTCTGTTTGCGCAACTGTTGGTGATGGTGTTGCCATTTCTGATTGCGTTGCTGTTGTTGCTGCTGCTGTTTGAGTTGCCATTTCTGTTTGCGTTGCTGTTTGTGAGGGTGTTGCCGTTTCTGTTGGCGTAGCTGTTGCTGCTGGTATTGCCGTTTCTATTTGTGTTGCTGTTGGCGATGGCGTTGCGTTTGCCGTTTCTGTTTGTGTTGCTGCTGCTGTTTGCGTTTCCGCTTCCGTTTGCGTAGCTGTTGGTGATGGTGTTGCTCTTTCTGTTGCCGTTGCTGTTGCTGCTGGTACTGCCGTTTCTGTTTGTGTTGCTGTGGGTAAGGGCGTTGCTGTTGTCATTTCGGTTTGTGTTGCTGTTGGTGTTGATGTCGATGTCAGTGTTGTCGTTTCTGTTGGCGTTGCTGTTACTGTTGGTGTAGCTGCTGTTGCTTGAGTTTCTTTTTCTGTTTGCGCAACTGTTGGTGATGGTGTTGCCGTTTCTGTTGGCGTTGCTGTTTCTGTTGGTGTAGCTGTTGTTGTTTGAGTTGCTGTTTCTGTTTGCGTAGCTGTTGATGATGGTGTTGCTGTTGCTGTTGAAGTTTCTGTTACTGTTCTTGTTGTTGACGCTCTTTGTGCTGATGTTTCTATTGTTGCGTCAGCTTTGGGTGATTCAGAATGATTATTGACTTTTTCTGCAGCTTGTACATTCAACTTAAAATTTTCGTCTAATCCAGAACTTGCTGCAATGTACCACATTAGAGCAAGAAGACAAACCAAGCTCTTCATCATTTCTACAACACACAAAGTCAAAGAATTTAATTTGCATTAATCAAGCAGTATTCCTGCAAACACAGTGTGCAAATTTGAATGAGACTTACTGAGAACAGGGATGTGAAGCCCACGTCACCGCTGCATATATACCCGAAACGACCGATGCCCTGATTGGAGGAAGCAGTCCTCTGCCAATCTGATCACAAGCTCAAATGTCGTTCAATATGAAGTGTGGCATGTACGTAGTTATCGAAAGACCCCATGGTTCCCCATCTTTTAATAAAGCAATTTTTCAATGCCAAATTTCTTGCTTTAGTGCAGTCAACGTCACCTTTATGTAGATGCAGCCATGCCATCTGCAACCATCCTGTGCGTTCTCCTATTTGGCTCTATGTTTTCAATCAATAAATTGCAGAAGAAAGCTTTCTATAATCTTCTTTTACATCTACCGTTTCACCAACATCAACTAGACAAGGATCAACCAGTTGATCACCAACAAACACTACTTAGTCTGAATCACCTATTTCAGCAGAATCTTCTGCTAGTCAAGCAACTACTAGCACGACCTCGGCTTTCAGAATGATCTCAGCTGTTGTGGTGTTAATTTAAGCCACGTTGGAAATTCAGTGCTTTAAATAGATCATTGTTTTTCGTCTTGCGGCACATTGTCAATTCTTTTTGATGCTTTTGTATTTTACGTAAATGAAATGTAATAAAATTTCCCAGGCGACCACTAAACCTTAATCAATTATTTGGTCAAATGAACTAACATCTATGCTGATTCTGTGACATTATGCTTTGTCTGACAAAATGAAATGTTATGTATAATATTCCAACAATTTGCTTTGAGCACTGCTTTCAAGTACGCGTATGTTACAAGCATTAAATGTGATATGGGTCATTTATTTTAGATTTGTCAATAGATATTTGTACCAAACGGCGGAGGTGTTGTTGATGCCCTAAATGTCAAGCAGGAACATTTTACTAATAAATTGCTTGCGCGCTTTATCGGGCAAATCAAACATTCGTTTACATGGTGTATTTACATTTGGAAAATATTCTGTTGATGTGGAAGGTGTGCATTGCTGGTAGGTGTCATGTCTGGGTAAATATGCCTGCGTAGTCCCAGTATTAATATTGCTAGGATCGTGGACATCAGCGAGAATGCAATTTGTATAGGGTTTAGTGACTGTAATAAGTAAAATTTGTTTAGTTTCTGTCTGAACAAAATATCAATAGCGATGTTTGACAGAGTACACCTCCTTGACTGCCACGAAAATGCATGATTGCTACTGATAACAGACTTGGGCTGTTTGTGGTTTGATAATGTGTTAGCAAAAGCTATTGGCATTTTACTGCCATCTGACATTGCCACAAACATGACACTCATGATTAGATTGGACAGGTGTGGGGCTAGTGCAAGGTCAGGTGTGAGTCGAACATGCGTAGACACCAAGCCAAATGTCGCTTAATTTATTTCTACATGAAAATGGGGTTCATTTGAAGAATTATGGCATTGGTGTAAATGTTCGCCAATGTGATCGCAACTAGTACATGTTTGACACGAGGATGTTGCAGTGATTAGTGAGTGAATGCAGTAATATTTTTGGTCGTGTAAATGGTGTTGGCGGTGGTAGTAACAAAAACGTAGGAAATGTATATCAGTTGCTCAAAACTGACTGCTTTCCATCAGCACGAATTGTAGATACGACGGGGTTTAGGTTGAGAAATTGCTATACAATGCGTTCGAGAAGTGCCATGGCGCAGGCGTTTTCCCATTTTGCTTTAACGTTACACTTTGACTACGATTGATGCGAAATGATTTGGTGTTACACGATTGGTATTTACTTACTACTAGTACTACTACTATGGAAAACTGCCAATTGCTATTTTCCACAAATCTACACTGATGTCTTGGTTGTGGGGGCATTTTTACTGAACATCTGAACTTGATTTTGACATTAAAGTAAGCTTCTAAAATTGTTACTTGTTCTTCTTTCTTGCCAAACACGTTTAACTGGCATGACGAGACCATTTGAAGTGATGCCTTCGTAGTCAATGGTGGTCACGTGTCATGCCACCTACACTGTGTCACAAGTGCCAATTTGTCTGAAAAGTGCAGCATATTTTACGATTGCTCGGCCAAATAAGTGCTTGCACGTAACCCGTGCAAAATTGCATGAGCGTTGAAACTCACAGGTGAACGAGAACGTGATCATATTTTGTTTACCAACACAACTTTAATGCCACAGCGGTATATGCACACACAAAGAAGTCAACTGAGTCAACCGTAGTAGGAGTTTTCCACAAAAAACCTAAATTGAGTTTACTCTTAACCCAAGTGGAGTGATCCAGTACCACATGTCTACGAATTCTGAACCTAATATCCTCGTGTGTTCAGAACATTTATTTAGACTCTAGTCATTCGTCTATCGACTAACTTCAAATAAAATTTATGGTGAAAGTGTTTTGCAAGGAACTTAAGAAGCTATCGATGTGCGATTGACTGTTTGATTCATCTCCTGCACTTATCTGAAAAGGCATTGTTTCTGTGCTGTGATCATGCTCTCATAACGTAATAATTATCTTAGTAACAATTACTGAGAAGTTTTATGTTAAGATCAGATCATCCATTCATCAATTTTAGCGTTTATAAATTGTTTTGGGATCATCAGGTGGCTCAGTACTTTGAGCACACTTGTCTTCGAAAGAACCACTTTCCATGAACTCGTCAAGTGTGTATGTGTGGGTATGTTTGATAACTTTAATACACTTCGCATATCTGTAAAGACTCTGCCATATTTATAAATGTTCCTATTAAATAAATAGGACTATCCGATATGTCGTTGGATGTTCAATGAACAGAATACGGTGCTACCCGTTATGGAGTAGGTGATGTTTACCTCACTACACTATCAATCTCTTGAGCGGTATTCCGTTCATTGTCATTGTGATATGCTGTCTAATGTTTACAGCCAAAATTTAAAAACGACTGGTACAAAAAGCAGGCTTTGCTTACTAAGGACAAGGCAGGATCTGTTGAATTTACGCCTAGTTCGTCACAGGAATTTACCTTAAAATATATCCGATAAGTTAATTATTGACTAAATCGAGAAAATTAGCGCCCTCGCTTAAGTAAGTTGTTGCCATTTTATTCCAACACGCTTGTTTTTATGAGGATGCGTATATTTGAAACCGTGAATGCTCATCTGACGCCAAGCAATTACCAAGAGGCATCAGTTGGTTGTGAAATACTATGTAAAAAATTCAAATTCAGCAAATACACCGGTGATATATTTTTGAATATATACTGGGAAATGACCTTAACGCCTTAGAACCAAGTCCTTCAATTCGGCTTAAGGTAATTTTTATGCTGACATTTGTAGTAGGAATATCTCTCACAGCGGTCATTCAAGCACAAAGCATTGATTGATATTTTTCATGCCACAACTTAAACGACGCAGGTAGTCGGCGCTGCAGAATAAATTGCCCATTTTCTCAACACATATGCATGAACATATTTGTATTTCCATTTCTTTTTAAACACACCGATTTACTTTTACTTGCATCTCATTTTTTACTGGAAGTGTTGAAATGAAGCATATGCTGTAACTTTCAGACAGCCTCAACTGTGTTTGGCAGGCCACATAGGGAACTTCCACTACAACCTCCTCACTCGAGTGGGTGGCGTGATAATTCAAATGTGTGTGTTTGGCACAGTCGAGGCAGCTCCTCTGATATCAGATGCCTGACTAAGCCCGAGAAAATGAAGTTAGATTTAACACGCTGATCCGATGGGACGTTGTGGAAAAGGGGGATTTCGGACTAGCAGCAAGAGGTGAGCTATCTATTAGGGTACAAGGGATACTTGCCTTAGAAGCGTTTCTGCTTCTGTGAGGATCGCGTTTTTTGAATCTAAAATGATATCACGAAGTGCTCTATATGCTGCTATACCTGAGTACAACGAACATTTTATCTTAATGGGGAATGCAGCATTATTTTTTTTGTTCCGCACGTAGGCTAGATATGGACACACAAAAAAGTACATTGGAATGCGACAGAGTGCATTTGATTCATCACACATTAAGCTATAATTTTGTTAAGATAGATAGCCTGACCATTAGTCTTTTGAACTTGTGGCACTGCATCCCACTGGTTCAACCTATTCTGCCGTTTATGTTATTACCCATATGCTGAATTATGTCAAGGTAATTTTGGAAGACACACGATTCATTCCTAATCCCGTTGACACATTTGTTGTGGCGCTTTTGTGTTCACGTGTGCTCATCTGACATGCCTCCTAGATAAGGCCAAAAGTTCCTCTAGGTGTGAAGTGGAAAGCCAACCTATTATTATCAAAGCTCAAGCATGTATGTATACGGCTTTCGTTAATTTAAGTAGATTTGCTAAATAAAAAAATTCAAAAACGCTAGTGAGTTTTTTTCCTTCTGCAGGAGAATCTTTGTCACATATGCTGCGTACTATTGATGCGAAATGGTTTGGTTTTACACGACTGATATTTCCCTACTACTACTACTACTACGGCAACCTGCCTTCTAGAATATACCGAAAATTCCTCTAGGTGTGCAATGGAAAGCCAATCTATTATTCTTAAAGCTCAAGCATGTATGTATACCGCTTTCGTTAATTTAAATGTATTTGCCAAATATAAAACTCAAACACACTTGTGAATTTGACCTTCCGCATGCGGTTCCTTGTCACATATGCTGCGTCCGATTGATGCGAAATGATTTGGTGTTACACGATTGGTATTTACTTACTACTAGGGCTACTACTACAAGGACAGACTGTCAATTACTATTTTGTCACAAATCTACATTGGTGTCTTGGCTGTGGAGGCATTAAAGTTAGCTTCTAAAATTGGTACTTGATTTTCGTCCTTGACAA